AGCATTTGTTGCTTGCTGTTCTGTTAAATTTTGCTAGTCTTACTGGAGTGAGATGATATCTCATGGTTGTCTTGATTTGCATGTCTCTCAGGGCTAGGGATTTTGAACATTTCTTCATGTGCTTGTTGGAGAAGCATTTTTGTCCAACTGTATGAGAGAGAAAGTTCTGCTGATTTTGAGCTATCCTGTCAGAGGTTAATCTTTCTGCCTCTTGTCTGAATACATTTCATCCATGAGAGAAATGTCATGTTGAGAAAGAGCAACATCAGAGAAAAGGCTGATCCTAACAACATAGCTTGGGATGAGTCATCCTAGCTTTTATGAGGAAGTATCTCTTTCAAACCAAGTCCTCCAAATATTGCCCTCTGAGTTATCAGTCTCAAGTTTTCTCCTCAGCACTGAAAAACTAAAACTCTGTGCTCTGCTCTGAAGCTGATTTATATCCAGTTTTTATCAAGATATTCTACTTTTCTTCTCAAAGAAAAACAGCTTATTAACTCACTTGCTTTGGTATTTCTTCTACACAATAGCAACTTACAAAGTTACAGAAAAATTTACACGTGCTTTCCTACATAACAAATATATTCTTTCTTTTTCTTTCTTTTTTCCCTACAGAGAGATAAAAATACACAAATCTTAATTCAACAGCAAAATACTGAACAGGTGAGAGCAAAACTTCATATGGAAGTAGAAGTACTAGGAACATTAAAATCAATATCTCCTGGTTCTTTGCCCCTGGTAGCAAGTGTAAGTGTGTAATATTAAAGGAATGAATATTATTTAGTAGTATACAATTTAGGTTATACAAGTTGCTACGGAACTATAAGGGTATGGAGTATTGTGACTGTTTTGTTTTTAAAAAAGTAATGTTCTTGAATAGAATAAAGGAAGTTTCCTTACAAACATGTTCTTTTCCATATCAACAATTTTTCTAGATATATAATCTTTTAATAAACTGTGCATAAACAGGCATAATATTGATATGGTAGGGTACAAAAAACATTAACTTATCTGGCTGACAAACAGAAGGTAATTTAATAGAAGGATACTAGTTATGCCCCAATGAACAGAAGACTAGAGAAACAGGATTTGTAATTGAGACAATCTTAGCAGATTAAGAAACAATAGCAGTAGGCTGACAATAGAAAGAGTCTGTTTTGATAGTAGAGATAGAAAGACAAGTGGGGCGTGGGGAAGCAACTGAGAGACCATCTGAGTAAGCCTCCTAGGTCAAATGAATGTCTAAGAAGTGGTTAGATCTACTTAATCTCGAATTTTAACTTGTGCTCACATACATAAGTGTATTGCATGCAGTCTACAGGATGCAAGAATTATACTATATTTGAAGTCAAATTTCAAATCAAGAACTGATCATACTCAGAAATTACATGGGTCAGGCTGTTACCCTTGTCTATTTGACTGCATATGTCTTCATTTCTAACTAACCTGTCAATTTTGGAACATCACCCTGCAAATCTAGAAGTAGAACCAAATCATAGAGCAAAAGGTGCTGAGATGGTTACTCAGTTATATCCAGAAAGAACAGAATTTCTGCTGTTGGTAAGTTAACAGCTTCTAGATTCCTCCAGTGCACTGATCTGAGGTCTTCCTATCTCTCCAGGACACTGATAACAGAAGAAATTCAAGAAAGTGAGAGTCTGCAATCATAATAGGATATCATGGCACTTGCTAAAAGAATGTCTGCTCTCAACGACACCCAGTTCCATCCTCTCTTCTTTCTCCTTCTAGGCATACCAGGCCTAGAAACGGTACACGTCTGGATCGCGTTTCCGTTTTGTATTGTGTACCTGATTGCCCTTTTGGGGAATATCACTATCCTCTTTGTGATCAAGACTGAACAGAGCCTCCACCAACCCATGTTCTACTTTCTGGCCATGCTGTCTATAATTGATCTAGGTCTATCCACATCCACTATCCCCAAAATGCTGGGTATCTTCTGGTTCAAGCTCCAAGAGATAAGTTTTTGGGGATGCCTTATTCAGATGTTCTTTATCCACATGTTTACAGGCATGGAGACTGTCCTACTAGTGGTCATGGCCTATGACCGCTTTGTTGCCATCTGCAACCCTCTCCAGTACACCATGATCCTCACCAATAAGACCATGCTTATTTTAGGCTCTATTGTTATTGGAAGAAATTTAGTTCTTGTGACCCCATTTGTGTTTCTCATTCTGCGACTCCCCTTCTGTGGACATTACATCATCCCTCACACATACTGTGAGCACATGGGTCTTGCCCGACTGGCTTGTGCACCCATCAAGATCAACATCATCTATGGGCTCATGGTGATTTCTAACATTGTTGTGGATGTGATCTTGATTGCCTCGTCCTATGCACTCATCCTCAGAGCTGTTTTCCGCCTCCCCTCTCAAGATGCCCGACTAAAGGCTCTCAACACCTGTGGCTCCCATGTTTGTGTCATGCTGTGTTTCTATACACCAGCATTTTTTTCATTTATGACCCATCGCTTTGGCCATAACATTCCTCGCTACATCCATATCCTTCTGGCTAATCTATATGTGGTTGTCCCACCTGCCCTTAACCCAGTCATCTATGGAGTCAGGACCAAGCAGATCCGGGAACGAGTTGTAAAGATATTTGTACAGAAAGAATAGATTTATAAATATTTAAAAATATTGCCACTTAATAACCCAAAATATAATAACATGAGCTCTTTTATACATCTTCTATAACATGGAGCAATGGCCAAATTTTTCATTTCTTTTGAGTGGCTGTAAAGCAAAGCTGACAGATAAAGCTGTCTTTACTATTAGGCCCTTCTTCCATATGCAACTGGATAAACAGAAGAAATTAATGGAGAAGAACATCAACTATCCCCAGTTCTTCTTAAATCTTCTCTTGCAAGTAAAACTTGAAGGAACATTGATCTAATAATGACCAGAGGAAGGTTATACATCTATTTGAAGCAATGTCTAAACTAGAACATTTACTCATCCATATTTTTACATGATTTATAGTAATCTCCAAATTTCTTCCTCTCTCTTTAAAAAAAATATTTCCATTGTCATTCTTGCTTTTTTCCCTTCCCTTTCTTTCTCTTTCATTCCTTTTCCAATAAACTAAGACCTTGTAAATTGAGGGCTATGAAGGACGATAGCATGAACATTTAAGAGATGGGTTTTTTCCTTTGAAGTGAAGTCACTTTAGATGTAAATGATTGCATGTCTATTCAAGTTAAGTCTAACTGACTTCCACCTTGCAATTTCCCTTTTCTTCTGTACTACTTACACAGGACTTTGGGAAAAAAAATCATAAGGTGAAATCATGATCATTATATGGCTTAAGCATAAAGCAGGGATTTATATCAAATTCAGAATAATATGAGTGTAATTTGTAATTTATTAATTCTGCTAATTCTCAGTGCTTTTAATTTCAAACTTCACATATGTCTAGATAACGTGGTTTTCTTTATACCAACTAAAATAATTACAATGCTGAGATTTGTGACTCACCAGGGATCATTTGTTTAGAAATGACAAGTCTCCATCATGCTCTGTGATTTAGTTCTACTCTCTAGATTTGCATGATGATGTTGCAAAATTAACAGATAAGAAATGGAGACACATGCAGTCAAATAGACAAGGGTAACAATCTGACCCATGTAATTTCTGAGTATGATCAGCTCTTGATTTGAAATTTGTCATTAAATATAGTATAATTCCTGCATCCTATAGCACTGCATGCAATACACTTATGTATGTGAGCACAAGTTAAAATTTAGCATTGTTTATATTTTGAGTCTCTACTTACTGTCTCTAAATGTTATAGGACTCTATAATTTTGAAGATGGAGCAATGTTCAGCATGACTTAATCTATAGTTTTTCATTTTACAAATACAAAACCTGAGTTCCAAAGAAAGGGAGGAGAATTTAGGAATAAGATATATAAATTATATTCACCTTTCACTAACCTGGGAGTTTCTTCTTCTGGTCTATAAACTTCATTTTAATTCGTGAAATGTCCCATTGATATTTTAGTAGATACAGCATGCAGGAGTGTTCTATTAAGAAATTATCAGAATTATTTCCTTTCAGTCGTTGGCTTGATTTTAATATTTTGACTTAAGTTTGAAGGATGTTCATTCCTTAAGGATTTATTCTTCTTTTTAACTCCCAACCAAATGTACCCATGGTAGACAGTGTTTGGTGGAGCTTCCCAATTAAATCAAGCTTGGAAGCAGGAGTGGCATCCACTTCCAAAATGGCTTGCCTCCAGAAATTCTATGAACATGGAGAAAGGACCAAAGTTACACAAGTGTTCAGGTCTTTCATTCATAAGGTCGCTATGAATCATCTACAATTTGATGCCACTTAACAACAACAACAATAACCCATCTTTAACATCATTTTCATGTAACAAGATCAGATCACACAGATGAATTCTTTTGATCATGAAGTCATAACTCTTAAAGAAAATTTGGAGAAGAACATATTATATATAATATGTTCATACACACACACACTCATATGTGTGTGTAACATCATGATTGGATAGAAAGAAGATTGAAACTGTCAACTTTATCTTACTTGACGGCACAATTAACACCTTTGAGACCAGCTGTCAGGAAATAAGGAGATGCATTGCACTGGAAAAATCTGCAGTTAGAGACCTCTCCAAATTATTGAGGAGTAATAATGTCAGTTTGAGGATGAAGGTGTGTCTGACTGAGGCCATAGTCTTTCCAGTCACTTGCTATTCATCCAAGAGGTGGACAATGAATAAGGGTGACAGAAAAAAGAATTGATGCCTTTGAGCTATGGTGCTAGAAAAGGGCACTGAACATCCCGTGGATGGCCAAAAGAACAAAAAGATCAAACAGATGTTTTGGAGAGGGTGCAGTCACAGTGCTCTTTGGAGGCAGCAAAGATGAGGCGTAGCCTCACATGCTTTGGCAGGTTGCTAGGAGGGGATACTCCTTGGAGGGGGACATGTTTCTGGGAAGTGTGGAGGGTCTGCAAAGGAGAGAAAGACCCTCAATCAAATGGATTGGCACGGTGATTGCCGCAGTGGGCACTTGTGTGTCAGGAAATGTGAGGATGGCACAGAATAGGACAGGGTTCAGATCCTTTGTTTATAGGGTCGCTATGAGTTCTACTTGACATGATGGCACACATAGATCTAGTTCCCACTTCTCCTGGTCAAAGGACTCTATTATTCTCTTCCTCCACCTCTTAGGAGAATACAGATTTGATCATTTGCCCTAAGGAGTTCTGCAACCCACATCCACCGGGTTTGCTGGAGACTCTGTATTTAGAACGTGGTTAAGAGGGTGAATAACTGAGCAGAGAATTCTCTCTGGACATCAGTCTTTCATGAAATCAATATACAATGGGGCTGCCTTATTGTTCTTAAATGTTGATTTATGGTCAGGCTTATCATGTTCACACATAAGATGATTTCAGGCCTCTAGGCTACCTAAGGTTCACTGCTGAACTTGAGTTACATGCATAGAGATATTCACGGGCTCTCATCTATGTGTGTTGTTATTCTGGTGATATCTCCTGTATAAAACAGTCAACAATGACAATGGAAACAGCAGATATCTGTTAATGACTATTCCATAAGCTCCTCACTGTCGTCAGTCCATAAGATGTAGCTACTTCAAGGGTTTTTGAGACCACTGCTCTGCAAAAACACCAGTCAGTGCCTTCTATGCAGTTTGGACTTCTTCCCTCAGTATAATTGGGGTTTGATCATGTACAACTCTTAAAATGATTTAGTCAATATAAACCTGTGAAGTCCATCAGGTAAGATGTAGGTATATAGTTGGCACTTATGTTTTTTAAAAGTATTTGCAATGAATAAACCATAGCCCAAAATTCTATCATTTGCTCTCCAGCCTCATTTCTTTATCAAGGCTGTATTTTCCAACTGTCAGTACTTTGTTTCCAACAATTATTATTGTTGCTGTTATGTACCATCGAGTTGGATCTCGCCCTTTGCTGATTCTCCTGTGAATTTTTAGAGACAGTTAATTGTACTGAAGGAGATTTCCCATCTTTCTCCCACAAAGCAGCTTGTAGGTTTGAACTATGTACTTTGGGGTTGGCAGCACAATTAACAGAAGAATGTCTTTTTATGCTTTATTGACTATGAAAAGGCATTTGACTACGTGGGTCAAATTATGGCTAACATTGAGAAGAATGATAACATTAGAACATTTCTTTGTGTGCGTTTGAAACATATCCCTAGACCAAGAAGCTATTGTGCAAACAGAGCGAGGGAACACTATGTGCATGGTTTAAAATTAGGAAAACCAGGTCAAGATACTATCCTTTCTCCATACTTATTTTATTTATATGCTGAGAGAAGTACTTGAAAAACTGGATGCTATTAAGAAGAATGTGGCACCAGGATTGAGGGAAGACTCATCAATAACCTTCATTATGAAGATGACACAACCTTGAATATTCAAAGTGAAGAGGACTTAAGTGCTTGTACCAGAAGGTTAAAACACTGACACTTTCAATTTGGATTGCATCTCAATGTCAGGGAAACAAAACTTCTTTTCACTGGCCTGATAGGGAATCATACCACAGATGCAGAAAAGAGCGGCATTGTCAAGGAGATCATTTTGGTTGGATCCACAATAAATCTACTTGGTACTAGCAGTCAGGAGACTGGAGATCATGAGAAGCATTACACTGGGAAAAATCTGTAATCAGGGACCTCTCTAAATTTTGAGGAGCATCAATTTCAGTTTGAAAACTAAGGTGCACCTGATTTAGGCCATGGCCTTTTTAGTCATTTGTTATGCATCTGAGTGCTGGACAATGAATAAGGATGACAGAAAAAAAAATGATGCCTTTGAGCTGTGGTATTGGATAAGAGTACTAAATTTCACGGACTGCCAAAAGAACGAACAGATATGTCTTAGAGAAGATGCTGCAACAGTGCTCGTTAAAGGTATAGGTAATAAATCTTCATCTCACATACGTTTGGGCATGTTGGTAGACAAAGCTATTCATCATGTTTGGAAAGGCAGAGGGATGGTGAAAAAGAGTAAGACCCTCAACCAGGTGGATTGACACAGTGACTACAACAATGGACTTGAGTGTGTCAGAGATTGTGAAGATGGCATAGGACAAAACAGGGTTCAGATATATTGTTTTTAGAGTTGCTATGAGTCATTCTCAACCCAATGGCACCTAGCAACAACAATAAGACATCATAGAAGAAATACGTAGTCACTTAAACAAAAAGAATTAACTGCCACAGAACCATTTGAGGAGCCAGTATTTGTTGAAGAACCAGTAATATTAAAAGAAGTCCAAAGTACTCTCAAGGAACTGGCAAATAAATAAGGTCCCAGTAATTTATGGATTATAAATTGACTTATTTCAACAAGTAGATGCAACCCTGGATGTGCTCAACATATTTTGCCAAGAAACCTGAAGGATGGATACCTGGCCAACTGGCTGAAGAGATCCATACTTGTACCCATTCCTAAAGAGAGGGATTGAACAGAGTGTGGAGATGATCAAACAATATTATTAATATCACACATAAGCAAAAGGAAGAATTCAAGATACTAAAGAGCTGAACAGAAGATTCCAAAAGGCAGCGTGTGATGACAAAGTAAAATATTACAATGAAATGTGCAAGGAATTAGAGTCAGAAAATCAAAAGGGCCAAACTCACTCAGGATTT